CTCTTTTTGTTAAGGAATTGCACAAAGATGCACCAAAATTTTGGGAGTATAGATCCCAAAATTATCTAACGTCAAAATTTTATTTTTCATAGGCTTCTTTTTTTCCTTTACAACAAAACCTAATTTGTAATCAAAATACAAATTTAAATAATTTTATAAATACTTTACAAATTCATAAGTTTAATGCTACCCAATAGGCAAAATATAGTCTTAGTTTAACATTTCATAAGAACTCAAATTTCTCATTATTTTTAAAGTAACCGACTATCAAAAATCAAGATCATTGATGACTACAAAAGATAATAAAGTTATAAATACTACATATATTCTTAATATATATTGTTATATGGATTTTCTTGCGATTTAATTTTATATCCCGATTTTACCGTTTATTTTGTATTTTATATTTTTATCATTTTTTCGCATTTATAAGTTAATCTTGAGTTTTGGATGGTATTTTTGTATTATTATATTACAAGAATGACAAGTAGTTCCATACTCTATTTTTGTTTATTTTCAATTTGACAAATAGTTTCATACTTTATTTTTATAATTTTTAAATAAAAAGAACCGAACCGGATAGTTAGATATGAAATCAATGATTCTATAGTTATATAATGAACTAATGATTCTATTTTTATGATTTCCATTGATATTTGATTCGATTCAGTTCCATTTATTATCTCTATGTTGTTGTATCCATAGTAGGAGAATCGGCTGTAAATAATATGAGATTTATCTTGGAGCCGTATAGTGTTAAAAGTACTCGCAAGAAGGGGAGACAACACGACTGTAGGATAGCTTCCTTAATGTGACTCTCTAAGGTTTGTTTTCCTAACCCTCTTCTTATGTTTATATTATTATTGAATTATATTACCTTATATGTTTTCTTATGTTAATTGATAAATATTTACACACAAATCAACCATTTTTCCAATAGAACGTGGTAAATGGTAGTGAGATGGGTTTTGTGGTGGTATGTCGGGCATGGACATGTTGATGGTAGCAGTGGCATTTTGGTGTAACAATAAATGTTACAAAAAATATCGACAATGGGGTTGACTTTGTGGTGTAATAATAAATATTACAAGTAGTGAAAGCAGCAATGATAGTGGTGTAACTATAAATGTTATAATTAGGGTAGTTGTAGAGGCAATGGTGATGAAAAAGGCGACAAAATATATTTAACACACTTTGTTTCAAGTGGTGGCGGCGACGAGAATGATAAAAACGTGATGAAAAAATATAACGTAATACAACACAATGTAATACATTAGTTACAAAACTTATCATAAAAAGTTAAAGAAAAAAAATTGTTTTGAGAATAGAAAAGGTTTAAAAGTGTGTTTGGAATTAGTAATGGGCCGTTCTCTTCGTATTTCAATTTTTAGTTTTGCGTTTTGAATTCATTTTGAATTGTGTTTTGAGTGTCCATTTTGAAATTGCTAAAAACGCATTCTTTTTTCATTTTGAAAAATTGTTTTCGAAAAAAAAAAATGAAGTTTTGGCTTGGTTTTATAGAAAACGGTCAAAAACGACTTATTTGGCGTTTTCCGTTTTCTTTGTAAATTTTAAACTCGTTTTCGAAATTCGTTTCTGAAAATAGGTAAGTAAACTTGTTTTCAGTGCTTTCGTAAACTAAAAATGTCCCGAAAACAGTAAAGACAACAGGCCATTAAAAACTAGCCATTAAATTTGGAAAGTTTCTTTTGGGAACAATTCACAAATATCGTCTAAAAGTTTACGAATTCCATACCTATTTTTAAACCTTTTATTATTATCAAAATATTGTTTTTAAAATTTTTTTTCATTAGAATTTTTTTATAATAACTTTTGTAATATAGTGTGCTAAATTTTGTAAAATTATGTTGCATCTCACCATGTGGCTTCCACCACTACTGTTGTCGCCACCATCAATTGTAACATAGTGTGGTACACACATTTGTCGCAATATTTCTACAATCATAGTGGACCGACAATACAATTATTGTCGATCCCACTGCTTATAATATTTATTGTTACATCATCATCGTTGATCCCACCACTTTTAGCGTTTATTGTTTCATCGTCATGCACTGCTATCCCTTATGACATTCATTGTTACACCACTATCACTGCCACAACTCGCCATAAGCTCACTACATCTTGATTTACAAGATTGAGAGGTAAGCCAATTATGTACATCATTTTCTGGTAAATCACTCTAAAATTCGTAATATGTATCTTTACTTCGTTAGTTTTTGGCTTGCCCTTTGGTGATGGTGGTAGTCGGACGTTGTTATGATTTGGTCAAGATGAAGATGGTAGGGGAGTGGTTGGTAGTGGATGTCGGCAAAGATAATGTTGTTGGTGGTGTAGGATGATGGGGCGGGCAAAGGTGGTAGTTGTGGTAGTGGTCGGGGGCAGTGATAGTGGTAGTGGTGGATCTAGAATATTAAGTCAATTGGGCGGTCGTTGACGGCCGCAATAGTAAGATTGCTTATTAATATTTAATTAAATAATATTAAAAAAATTTCAATCAATATATAAATACGATAAAATGTAAAAGTCATATACATTTGAAAATATAATCCAATACAACCTAAAATGATAAGAAAAAACAAATATACTTTTCAATCAGTTGTGTATGATCAAGTTTCAATTATTTTGTGAACTTAAACGAAACAATTTATACGTAAAGCAAACGGTAAAGACAAGCTCCGAGTTTAGGTGAAAGTTACGCAAAATTTTGAAAACAATGATTTTTAGAATTAGAACTATTTTTTTACCACAAAAGAAAAAATGTTTTTCGATCTCTTAAAAGAATAAAGAGCGACACTTAAATTGTCCAAATTTGAATTTAATAAAATCAATTAATAAAACCTAACAATAAAAGTATCTATATCATGGAGTAATAATTTGAGTTAATAAGTTTTTTAAAGAAATTATTTCGAAAACGAAAACTAATAATATATACTTGTTTAGTTTTGTATTAAGACATAAGCAAAAATTTGAAAGATCATAGAATTGAACCCTTTACCTCTCACATGCTAAATGACTCCTCTACCACATGAGCTACACATTTTTTGTTGAAAATTGGTACAATTATTTGTTAATAATTAGTATATTTAAAAATTAAAAGGAATACTATTGTTGAAGGGAATCAAACCCAAACATTTCATATGAAAGGTAAACACTCTCCCACACGATCTACACGCCATTTCTACAAAATTTGAAACAATAACCTATATATATATATATCTTAATTAATCTTTCCACGCCAGGTCATCGGGTGCTGGATCTGCCCTTGGTTGGGGGTGGTTTGTGGTGATGCATCCCGATTCATGTATATAATGCGTCCTATTTTGATGTTTAACAAAAGTCAGTATATATATGGAATAAAAAAGTATTGGAAGTAAGTTTGATATTTTAAATAAAAAAGAGTGTTAGGTGAATAAAAAAATTGTGGATCTAGTATGTCTCAGCCTGATATTTATGGGACCAATCGTGCTACATTGACATCTTGGATGGCGGAATATCCAAGTGACAGAAATTCATTGAACTGTTTCTAAAAGGTCTACAATAACATCCAATCATTTATTTAAACATCTTCTGTAAACAAAAATGTTAAAAACATCCGGCAACAAAGCTTATTCTTATGGGACATTTCTAGATTGAGTCCAGCCATTTACATTTTTCAAAGGATCCATTTACTAGCTCTCTAACCTTTAATAAGTATGATTTTGAGTCTGTAATCATAAAAAAATTAATCTATTTATAAATGTGAATATGAGTCTTCACATCACCGAAATCGTCAACATAAACGTCAAAATTATACACAACTTTCACGTGACTTACAGTTGTCAAACCTCTTTCAATCACTATTGATTTTATTGATCACATCAATTTTTGTCAAGCAGTAATTTAGAATCACATATTAATAGTTTGGGAACCCAAAACCTCATTTTGAAGGTTTGAGATCCTAACCAACACTATCTGAAAATGATTTCGAAACCTGGCCTCAGTTTCTTGAAACTCAAATTGGATTATAATAAGTTTTAATTTGAAGAGTAAAGCTTGAACTGACCCTAAGAATCTATGCTATAAGAATTTTAGATAAGTCACGACTATTGAATATTACGTTGATAAAAAGTAGGAAAAGGTCGAGTATTATTTATGGTATGTTGCCTAACAAAAAAAAAGTAAAAGAAATTTACATTAATGATGTAGGAGTTGGTCCATTCTATCTTGTCAAAGATGAGGTGTATTCTTTGAGTGTCTTTAATTGTCATTAGGATGTCAACCTCACGAAATTAAAATATCTTCATTTTATTTATTTATTAATTTATGTTTTAATATTATTTTTTTAAAAAAAATTTAAAAAGTAATATAAAGTAAAAATGACAAATAAGAGTTGGGATGGGGATCGTATTCCTTATCCCCTCTATGATTCTCCGGATAAGTGGAGCGAGGTCGAAACATTTTATCATCTTTAATCAGTATTAATTTTTCAACCATTAATTACTAGTTAATTTGAACTTATTTATAAATATATTGTCAAGTATAGAAAGTATAAGTAATTTTAATTTTTGACAATACACAATCGAAGAAAGACAACAACCAGAAGATCACATTCACGTACATTTTTTTTTATCTTTCTCACTAATTTATCGTCCAAGATCGTGAATTAGCTGATGGCCCAAATTTCGAAGTATAGTGATTTGAATAGAAATCTTACTCGGTGTAAAATAGGTTTGGAATTTGGCAATAGGGACATAAGGATGAAAGATAGCAATGACACTATGCCATTCTCATCCCCTCAAAAGGTGACGGAGCAACCCGAATCGAATCTTCCCTTCTAGACAGGAAATCTTCAACGGCTAAGATTCCATACGATAATACATAACAACACCAATCCAACGGTTGATATCACACACACTCCCCCACTCATAACTTGAAACCAAGATTCGATTTCAGTCCCAGCAATTCCAGAAGCTGAAACTGTGAATCCAGCGAGGAAAATGGAATCCCAATCTTCATCTTCAGAGAAGGGAAAGGGAAGGGAAAAGGAGAGGGAAAGGGAAAGGGAAAAGGAAAAGGAAAATGGGAAATCTGTTGAGGGACTAAAAGAGAAGGTAAAAAAAGAGGGATTGGGGTGGATGGAGTGGCTCAGGGGGTGGATGTATTTAATCTACGAGATGCTGTTCCAGAGGATTTTAGCCAGCCATTTGCAGAATCCAATGCCTCTCCCTCCCATTAATGATCTCACCTGCATCGTCACGGGCTCTACGTCCGGCATCGGCAAAGAAATCGCGCGGTCTGTATACTGTATTTTTCTTGTATTTTCTGAGTGTGGGTTTACTATATTTATTCGATTTATCTAGAGTACATTGTGAGTTGTGAGGGATTTAAACTGTACCATATAATAATCAAAATACAAGTGCTTCATGATATGAAATTTGATATTACCGGCTTCATTGTTTAAATTAATACTCTTATTGGTTATTCGATTAGCACTGCCAAATCGGGGTGATGGTTTAGTTTTCAATAGAACTGTGCCATTAAATCATCAATTCCAGCTTGGTGATAGTTTAATTCTAAGTAGAATATGTTAAGGGTAAAATACCATCCATATTGTTTAAATACTAAATAATGATCACATATATGTGTATAACAACATCTTAACTAGTTTTAGATGGAATCTCAAGAATTCAAAGAATTCTCATAAGTAGGAAAATTTTACAGGAGTTTTTTCTGTTTTAAACTTGTATTTTCTTTGATAGTAATAATTCGAAATTCTCATTTCTATTTAATTATGAATACGTGCAATTGTATTATTAGTTCAATTTTAGTGCAAATAAAGCAGACCGGCGGTTTTTTTTTTTTTTCTTTTCTGAAGTACATTTTTTTTTCCATCATTGAACAGGCAATTGGCAGAATCAGGGGCACATGTCATCATGGCTGTCAGAAATCCTAAGGCAGCTAATGATTTGATAAAGAAGTGGCAGGAGGAATGGTCAGGAAGGGGCCTTCCTCTTAATATTGAGGTAGAATATAGGAAGGCTGAGCATATGCTTCGAAAAAAGAAGTAATGTGTTTAAAAATATAACAGGACCTCTAGATTTCCTTTCATGTGTCAAATCGTGTTTTAACATTATTCAATTGACAACTGTAGGATACAGAAATCAAATATGTAATCCTGTTTATTCTATTTCCTGTAATGCGAAATTGTAGGTACAACATTTAGCCCTGTTTGGTTTATCAAAAAAATTGGATTAAAATCTAAGTCAAAGACAACAATTAATTTTAACAATACATTCCATGGGACACGCAACTTTTTAATCACATATTCTATCAATTTTTATCAAAATATATTAAAAATCTGATTTTTATCTAAACCAAGTAGGGGCTTAATATCACCAATGTTCTGTAATTTTACTTTTCCTGTAAGTTTCACTTTTGGTTTTAAGATTAGTAAGAAAGCCAACTGCTAAAATTGTGACTGTTTATAGGTGATGGAACTAGATCTTCTCTCTCTGGATTCTGTAGTGAGATTTGCTGAAGCTTGGAATGCACGTGCAGGGCCTCTGAATGTTCTCATCAACAATGCTGGAATATTTTCCATAGGAGGTCTGTATGTGAAAATCTAATATACCGATTCTACTTGTCTAATGTTTTTATCCTGATTGGCCAAGTCAATAATGAAGTCCTATTTCCATGAAGGTTGTATTAAGTTGCTGATTACTTATATCCCTTACTGTATATGGTTCATTTTCTCTTAGCAAGCATATTTCTGAAACCTATTCGTTGCTTTAAGACATGGTGAGGCTTTTTGTAGATGTTAGTATGGTTGATGTTTCTTTATAGTTAGTTAAATTTCTTTTGCTTGCATCTTAATTATCAAAATATATGTGTAGATTTTATTTTCCAAGGCAACTTTTTGTGTTTAGATAGCGAATACATAATATTTTTAATTAAAGATGTCATGATTTACATCTCAGAAAACATCATTTTGTGCATTTTCACTTAACAGATTATTACATTTTCTTGATTCTCAAAGAACTCTACACTAGATATGAAGGTCTGATGAAAGTTGGATGTTGACTTATCTATTTGACTTCTCTGAGTAGAAATAGTCTAGAATAATTGGTCTGTAAAATAACTGAACTATGAAAATCAAAATGAAATAATTATTTTCATTACGTTTCTCTGGCAGGTGGATAATAGAGATCAAAGTTATTGGGAGACAGATATCTGTAAAAAGAAAGCAAATTTTCTTTTAAATTTAATTATGTTATATTTGATGCTGTTATTTAGTTAGTTTTACTAGACATCTTTTTAAGCTTGTGCCATTCGCTGTTGATGTGCCTACGACCTGATTATACAACTATATTTTCTTTCCCTCACATTCTTACTTAATGAGAAGCCTATCACTTTAGGAGCACTCTTTCAATAATTGGATTTCTACTAAACATGGTAATGTCTGGAGAAGGTGGATGGTGTATTTTGAGTGATATGCCTCAATGAAAGGAAAAAAAAGATCAAGTTGGTTTAATTGTACATTTTCTTTTAGTTCCTTATGAACTACTTGAGATTTCATACAGCTTCTGTTTTGTTGACATTAGGGAATCATTTTGCATTTCTTTATTTCAATTTTAATAATGATTTTTGTCAAAAAAAAAAATTTTTTTTTGGGGTGGGGGGTGGGGGAGGGGGGTCTTGCAGTTTCTTTTTTTCTTGGTTTAATAGCGCATTTTCTTTGTGCTACTGCTTTCATCAGCAGAAGCTTGCTCTGCCTATTATTGTGGAAGCTATAATTTGGACATTGCTCTTGAGTTATTAAATTTTGTCCTTGCAAAATGATTTGTTTGGTCAAGGTCCCTCTTTTCTCAGTCATTACGTAGTTCTGTTTTGTCTGCTACTTATCTTCTTACTTTGAAGTAAATATTTGTTTACATTTAGTGAACCATCTCATTTAAAATGCTAAAGCTGCTAGAGTGAGGACATATTTATTTCTTTTAATTTAGTCTTTAACATGCTACCTCACATGTTGGCCAAATTCATTTTCTTTAAATGTTTGACATGTGCACTAGGTGGTGGCGAGAACTTAACTCAGGAACTTAACCTATTCGCTAAACTATATTTAATTTATCGAGGACCTATTTATTTATTTTAGCAGGGTTTTTTCATACCATGAGCAGAAGCTTGCTCTGCCTATTATTGTGGAAGCTATAATTTGGACATTGCTCTTAAGTTATTAAATTTTGTCCTTGCAAAATGATTTGTTTGGTCAAGGTCTCTCTTTTCTCAGTCATTACGTAGTTCTGTTTTGTCTGCTACTTATCTTCTTACTTTGAAGTAAATATTTGTTTACATTTAGTGAACCATCTCATTTAAAATGCTAAAGCTGCTAGAGTGGGGACATATTTATTTCTTTTAATTTAGTCTTTAACATGCTACCTCACATGTTGGCCAAATTCATTTTCTTTAAATGTTTGACATGTGCACTAGGTGGTGGCGAGAACTTAACTCAGGAACTTAACCTATTTGCTAAACTATATTTAAGAATAGCTCCTGGATAAATAAATAAAACATTTCGTCTTCAACAACATTGTAGTTGAACTTATACCTTTCCTCATTATGTTCAGAACCACAAAAGTTTTCGAAAGATGGAAATGAAGAACACATGCAAGTGAATCATCTAGCTCCGGCACTGCTATCTATATTACTTTTGCCATCCCTTGTTAGAGGCTCCCCAAGCCGAATTATTAATGTGAACTCTGTTGTAAGTTTTCTGAGCACTGTTATGTGTCTTGATGTATTGTACTTGTGCAAAAGTTAGTTTCATTGATCGAATTTCTTTCATTTTCTTAATCTTTCATAAGAATAACTCTGATGGACAGGAATATTTCTTCTGTTTTTCCAAATTTGAAAGATCAATTTATTCGGTTGATGCGGCTGGGTACTTTTATGAACAACGGTGTCACTGAATTGTTGGTTTACTAGGAATAATAATTTGGCTTCCACGTTGATGTGAAAGTCATTTGCAAATTTTATATACTACTAGTGAATATTTATAATTAGTAATTGGCTGAACCTATGACGAAAATGATTCTAAAGTAAGCATTTCTTGAGACACCATCTATGGTAGAAAATAAAGGGAACAGTTCTGCTGTCTTGTGTATGGAAGCTTTTTTCCTTACTTTTATGTGCTATACAAGATAAGAAATGTGAATAAAACGTCCACCTTCACATCCTAAGATTCTTTTGTTTCCCTGTGCCTACTGGGAGATTTTTTAGGTAGTAATGAGAAAATGCCTTCGTGACTAACAAGTAAAATCTCTTCTCCTCTTGTACCTCTTGTATAGACAACCAGTTTATACTCTTGTAAGGAGAGGGTGATCATATGATTGTTGTGCAAAGGCCTGCACCCTGTTTCTTCTTTTTGATAGAGAAATATATTTATCACCTCGAAGTTACTTTTACTTCAATTTTTCTGCTACCAGTACCCTCTTACTCTAGTTTCTACTCAAACTAAGCAATGTGCAGTGAGAATTCACCACAAACATTTATTGCTGAGATTTTTATAATTTTTTAATTTTAGAGAATCCGACTATAAGGTAAATAAATCAATGGTAGTAAGTAAATATATTTTATCGAACTCTCTAACCTTCGATTATTTACTTATTTGCTATTAACGTACTGAAATCTCAACGTCATTGGATGACCAAAGCCCAGTAGTTATGAGTCACCACGATGTGCTTTAGTGGTACACTCAATGTTTCAGTCGTTATGTATTTTTTTCTATTCAAACATCCAACAATCTTTTGTTAGAAAGTTGAATTTCTAGCACATTGCAGGGACCACAGTTAGTTATTTATTTCTTCCTATGCACTCTTAAGTAGGAAGTAAACTTTCCATCTTGTGTATTTGTAGATGCATTACGTAGGATTTGTTGATACAGAAGATATGAACGTTGTATCTGGGAAAAGAAAGTACACAAGTTTGGTGGGATACTCAAGCAGTAAACTGGCACAGGTGCACTCAAAAACTTGCTTTTAGTGTTTTAGTGTTCTTTTTACCTTTTATGTGACATGTAAATTTAATTTTTGCCAATTGGTAGATAGACACCATCCAATGGTTTGTGTAGCTTAGTGATTGTTTAAGTAAAAGTATAATGAAAAGGAGTAATGGGTCTCCATGAAATGTGTGGCTACTTAGTGGGTAGTAGTTTTGAATGTGTGCTTAAAATTAATATTTGTCTATGACTTAAATTATAAGGTGATTGTAATGAAACCCAAATAAGCTCTTAATATGTTCCATACTCTCATTTTATTCACCAAGGAGAAAAAAATAGTGCAATGTGAAATGAACAAGTACATGTTCTCTTCAAATGAAAAGTAATGACCATTTCATTATTGTATATAGTAGATGATTATTATCATTATCATGGTATTGAGAACCTGATACATAAGATTGAAGGCGGAACGGAGAAGTGCTGCAGGGATTTATATAAATGAAATAACCCTGTTAAGTTAAAAAGAAAGCTATGCAATATGATTACTATAGTAGCTATGCTTTTAGAGTGTTGTTCCTTTAGAGCACAAATGTCTATCAAATGAATTTAACAGAAAGGATGATATTAAGATGGATATCTGTTCCTATTCGAATGAATGAAACTAATCCTGAGGATCTATACTCACAAAGAATTATCTTTAGTTCTCTCTCTCCCTTTATGGTGTGTGTTGCACAGAAATGACGCAGAATGTTTTAATCACTAACTTTACACTGTGATGCTGCTAGATGCTATGAAGTAAAGTTCTTCGAGAAGCTGATTTTAATTTGGTCTGAGTAAGTCTAATGGATTAGTCGTTGCATATATAATTGACTTTGGCAAGGATAAAAGGGGTTTGATCATGTGGAAAGTGATAGTTTAGTTTTGGGTGATCTAACCAAAGAGAAACAAAAGGCTTTTTGAATGAAAAGAGCAAGATTTTTCTGACTTATGGGATAGATCAAGGTTTTTAGCATCCCTATGTATATCTATGGTTGTTCATATTCTTGATTTGACTTTGCTTGATTTAAGGGAAATTGTTATCCTCTTAAAAGTTTTAGATCTTAGAAAAATGCTGTAGTGGAGGCACCACCAATTGATGATATATCAGTGGAAGCACAATAGCTTAAGTAGTTGGAGAATGTCTTGCATAGACCTAAAGAAGTTATCATTCGTAAGAGTGACGTGGTTCCAATAGAACATAATAGATGTGCAAGAGTAGACAAAAATTAATGATGCTCTTGATTGCAAAAAAAAAAT